AGGTACAAATATGTGCCTCATAAATAAAAAAATATATATTTTCTTACTACAACATATAAGAATTTTAAAGATCAAATGTTTTGATCTCTAAAAGTGAAAACTTTGTTGCAAAAGGCATTTAAGAACTAATTTTTATCGTCATGAGGATAGTTGCTAAAAGGTCGTCTCAAAAAATCAAAAATAAGATTTTTAGCGACAAAATTTTGAAAATGTCACTAATAAATAGACTTTTAGAGACAAAATAATTTGGTCTTAAAATGGTTTATCTTTTGAGATAAAAAATTTGATCTCAAAAGAATAATAATTCATCACTAATGTTCAATTTTTGTTACTAAAAATATAATAACGACATTTTTCACAACAAAATTATTTGGTCCTTAAAAAATAATTTTATCCCTAAATTTTAATATCTAAAATCTTAATTTTTTGTAGAGAAATGCTTTTCACTAATTAGTGGTGACTCTAATAATGTGGAAATGGGTGCGACCCACTGCCATAGTGTGTTTTTTTCTTTTTTTTTTTTTCAATGGCCACCTCACTAGTAGTGGGATTACTGATAATAAATTAATAGTCTATAACACTGCTCTTTTTTGTAATGTCTACTTGAAAATAGTTTAACCACAAGTATAACATTCAGTTCTATCTTTAAACGAGAATAGAACTCAGCCCCTCTCGAGTAAGTAGAGAGGTTGTTCAGCGTTGGTGGGCTCTGATTTAGGTCCATGTCAATAATTTAAATAATTTAATAGATAGAAACCGTCCAGTATATCATTCTTACAAAAAAATTATGTTGATCGGATATTGAGAACTATTTATTTAGATCATATTTTTGTCACAATTTATTTTTAAAATGTGATATGATCAAGTGGTTATTCATATCCGATCAACGCATTTTTTAACAGGAATGATATGTTTGATGGGTTCTATATATTGAACAATTTAAATTATCAACATAGACTCAAATCAGAGTCTAACATCGCCGAACAACCCCCTCTTGTTACTGGAGATGAGCTGGGTCCACGAGAATATAAGACTATGGCCCTGTTTGGTAGAGCTGTGGGAAAGTGCTTATAGCTTATGCCTAAACAGCTTATAGCTTATAACTTTCAGCTTAAGCTGATTTCCAGCTTATTCTTAAAGCATCTCCCGCCCCACTCAAAGAATAAGCTATTTTCTGACTTCCACAAAGCTATAAGCTATAAGCTAAACCAAACACATCAAAATAGCTTAAATTAAGCTGAAAGCTGAAATAAGCTGAAATTAAGCTGTACCAAACAGTGCCTATATAAACTTTGGACATGACATAATAGTGAATTTGATTTTTTTTTTTAGCAGAAATAAGAACTTCAATTAATAAGACAAAATAATATATAATAGTCTATACAACAAACTAGCAAACTAACTGATCATGGTTGCACACAAAAATGAAAATCAAAATAAAGCAAAATATCGAAATCATAATAGTGAATTTGATAGATTATAGAATTTTATCATTTTATATTTAAGAAACATTGATAATTTAGGAACCTCGCTTAAAATTGTCAATTTTACCACTTTAAAATAAGAGAGCATTATAATTTTAGAGATCATAAAAATATTTTAATTATAACAAATCTCAAAAGAGATTAATATAAATTAATCCTGTAATAATATTCTCATTCTTTCCTTTTTATTCAATTCAAACAAACATATTACTTGTGTTATAAACGGGATAAAATAATATATTATTTATTAAAAATACGATAATTATATTTAATTTTTTTATATTTTGTCTCTCGTAAATAAAATTTTATACATAAATTTAAATGTTTTATTTTAAATATTCCTTTGCTATAACATATAGCATAGATAGATTAAAATTATTTTATTGACAATTAATAATTAAAAGGATAGTGATAGAGAGTTCTATCACTAGAGCTCTAACATGAGCTCTAGTGAGGTGTCAAACCCAAAAATAAATAAATAAAAAAGAGCAAGCCAAAACATCACATCATCATGTGAGATCCACTATTAAAGCTCCCAAACATTATTGTAATTAAAATTGTGCTTTGTTATAAAAAAAAATGACTTAATTTTAATATTTCACTATTTTAGAATAAAAATATATGAATTTTAAAAAATTGTCATATTAATTTTTGAAAGGGAAATAACTAAAGAAATTTTAAAAACTTAATGAGTAAAAAAAAATCATCGTAACATGTAAAACAACTAAAATCACAGTTAAACCAGCAAATCAATCAAACCAAAAATGGTTTAGCTTGATCAGGTAGGTCAAAAGACCAACCATCTTACACAAAAATTAATTAATTAAAAATGTTAAATTTTATTTTATTAAAATTTAAACTGTCACTAAATATGGAAAGTAATCTATTAATTTAAATTTAAAATTGACACAATATAAATTTAAAATTATAATAATTTATCCCATAATTTATAAGTTATAAATACAAATTTAAAATTATCATAATTATCTCACAATTTTTGTATTAAAAAGCAGTAAGAATGATATTGAAATTATCAATATATCTATATATTTTACAAAAGAATACTTTTAAGAAGAGATATAATGAGAGTTTCAAAATCTCATACAAAATTAATTTAAAAATCAAAACCTCTATGTGGGATTGCAAAATAAAAGTTAAATGGAAGCTAATCAATCGTGATTTTCTTAATTGTTTAAAATTAAGAAAATCAAAAATTTAGTATGAGATATTGATTATGAGGCTTCTCACTAAAAATCTCATTTTTGCTTACATAAATGGGAGCATAAAATTCATTTTATGTAAGTAAAAAAATTTACTTTTTTCTTATTTTCTCAACGTGAGATTGTAAAATAAAAATTAAATAGAAGCTAGACAATGAAAAAAAATTTAATTGTTTCAAATTAAAAAAATTCAATAATTTATATAAATTGGAACATAAGATTCACTTTATATAAGTGAAACAATTCACATTTTCCTTCTTTTTTCGATGCGGGATTTTGTAAAATAAAAGTTAAATGGAAGCTAATCAATCGTGATTTTCTTAATTGTTTAAAATTAATCAAAAATTTAGTATGAGATATTGATTATGAGGCTTCTCACTAAAAATCTCATTTTTGCTTACATAAATGGGAGCATAAAATTCATTTTATGTAAGTAAAAAAATTTACTTTTTTCTTATTTTCTCAACGTGAGATTGTAAAATAAAAATTAAATAGAAGCTAGACAATGAAAAAAAATTTAATTGTTTCAAATTAAAAAAATTCAATAATTTATATAAATTGGAACATAAGATTCACTTTATATAAGTGAAACAATTCACTTTTTCCTTCTTTTTTCGATGCGGGATTTTGTAAAATAAAAGTTAAATGGAAGCTAATCAATAAGAATTTTCTTAATTGTTTAAAATTAAAAAAATTGAATAATTTCATAATGAAGGTTTGGAGCTCTTAGAAATCTTAATTTTCTTTTCTCTAAATTAACAATCTACTTTTTCCTTCTTTTCCTTCCCTTTTTTTTTTTCGATGTGGGTTTGTGTAAAATAAAAGTTAACAATTGTTTAGACGAGAAGTTTATTTTGAATTAAGCAATCCCAATAGTTTCATCTTTAATTAGGTCAATTTTGCATTTATTTCGAATCAAACAAATCTAACTAATATATTTTGATAAAACCGTTAAAATCACAGTTAAACTAGCGAATCAGTCAAACCGAAAATGGTTCACCCTATCAGATAGGTCAAAAGACTAATTAACTTATACAAAAATTAATTAATTAAAACTTTTAAATTTTATTTTAATTTTAAAATTTAAGCTATCTTGAACTGAAATATATACGACACTATAATATTAAATGAGATCATAAGATTTATATAGTGAAACAACTCATTTTTTCCTCCATTTCTTGATATGTGATTGTAAAATAAAAGTTAACAGTTGTTTAGATGGAAAGTTAATTTCTAATTAAGCAATCTCAGTCGTTCTATATTTTTAATAAGCTCAATCTTAATTTATCTTAACTCATACAAATCTAGGCAATATATTTTGATAAAACAGCTAAAATCGCAGTTAACCAGTGAATCAGTCAAATCAAAAACAATTTAGTCTAATCGGCTAAACTAAAAAACCAATCAATTTATAACAAAATTAATTAATTAAAACTTTTAAATTTTATTTTGAGCAATGGTAGAGGGCCACAAAAAGTGTGACTCAAATGACTCAAAACTGTCAAAACGACGTCGTTTTGAGCGTAAAACGACACAAAATGTTTTGGCAATTTTGAGCCATTTGAGCCACACTTTTTGTGGCCCTCAAACATTTTTCTTTTATTTTAAAATTAAAACCATTTGAATTGAAATATGCACAATACTATAATATTAAATGGGAGTATAAGATTCACTTTACATAAGTGAAACTACTCACTTTTTCTTTTTTTTCTCGATGTGGAATTGTAATTATTTTAAAATTAAATATTAATAAAAACCTCTATGTGAGATTGTAAAATAAAAGTTAGATGGAAACTAATCGATGAGAATTTTCTTAATTGTTTAAAATTAAAAAAAAAAATTTAAAAAAAATTGGTATGAGATATTGATTATAGGGTTTCTCACTTAAAATCTCATTTTGCTTATATAAATGGGAGCATAAGATTCACTTTATGTAAGTGAAACAATTCACTTTTTTCTTCTTTTTCCGATGTGGGATTGTAAAATAAAAGTTAAATGGAAGCTAGCCAATGGAGATTTTCTTAATTGTTTAAAATTAAGAAAATTTAAAAATTCATATAAATGAGAGCATAATATTTACTCGATTTAAGTGAAACAATTCACTTTTTTCTTTCTTTTTTTTCTCGATGTGGAATTGTAAAATAAAAGGTAAACGAAAGCTAGCCAATGAAAATTTTCTTAATTGTTTAAAATTAAGAAAATTCAATAAAGGTTTAAAGCTTGTAGAAGGCTTCTCCTTCAAAATTTCCTTTATAAGATTCATTTCATATAAGTGAAACAACTTACTTTTTCTTTATTTTCCCGATGTGGGATTGTGAAATAAAAATTTCCAATTGTTTGGGCGAGAAGTTTATTTCTAATCAAACAATCTCAGTTTTTTAGTTAATTTCGAATCAAACAAATCTAACCAACATATTTTGGTAAATCTGTTAAAATTACGATTAAACTAGCAAATTATTCAAACAAAAAAAAATTTAACGTAATCAGTTAGGTCAAAAGACTAACTAGCCTAAACAAAAATTAATTAATTAAAACTTTTTAATTTTATTTTATTAAAATTTAAATTGTCATTAAATATGAAAAATAATTTATTAATTTAAATTTAAAATTGACACAATATAAATTTAAAATTATAATAATCTATCCCATGATTTATAAATTTTAAATACAAATTTAAAAGTATCATAATTATTTCATAATTTTTGTATTAAGAAGTGGTAAGAGTAACGTTGAAATTATCAATATATCTATATATTTTATAAAAGAATACTTTTAAAGAAAGTTTTCCCTAAAAACTCTCACTTTCTTATATAATATATAGATGTGTGATTATAAAAAAAAAGGTAAATAAAAACTAACTAATGAGAATTTTTTTAATTGTTTAAAATTAAAAAAATTTAATAATTTTAAAATGAGGATTTAAACCTCCTAGAAGATTTCTACCTAAAAATTTCATTTTATATAATATACTGATTACAACTAAATAACATTTTAAAATCCATTTATGTGTTTTCTTTCTTCGGTATAATTCGTTACTGTACGAGTTGGGCTTCCCTGATGGCCTTAAAATCCACAACTACAAGAGATTTAGGGGATTTTATTTGAACCTAAAATATGTCTCAGCACGTCTAATTTAAATTTATAAATTTTAATTTTTATTATATTTTAATATAAATTTATTAATAAAGACAATACATATTAAATTCTAAAATAATTTTTTTTTTCTTTAAGGTTTAAAGAAGGGAATTAGTCCACCTAGAACGCTATGGGAAAAATAACGGCAGCATAATGGATTTGAACCAATAAGTGACGCGACTTAGTTAGTTCAATAGGATTTTTTTATCAAAAATAGGCTATTTTAGTCATAACAAACAAAACATCACATCTAATCCATAATCATTACATTCTTCTCTCACAAAAAAAGTCAAAAAAGCCAAAAAGTCCTTCCCAAACCAAGCTTTTTAGCCCAGGCTAAAATAGCCAAAAAAGCCAAAAAGCCAATCTACTTCCCAAACCAAGCCTAGTAACTTTTTGGCTAATTGGCTAAAAATGTAGTATCCTAAACGAGGCCTTAGCCTATGTTTGGGAACTTGGGTTTGAGGATTTTTTGGCTAAAATAGTCACAAAAAATAAAATAAACTTTTTAACCTAATAAAATAAAACATTACATTTAACCCATAATTATTATATTCTTTCTCTCATAAAAAAATTAAAAATTCTTCTCAAACCAAACTTTTAACTTTAAATTAAAATAATTAAAAAAGTTAGAAATTTAAAAAGCAACTCACTTCTCAAACGAAGCGTTAATGGTTTTTTAGGTGTAAATAGAATCTCCGAGATTCAGTTGCTATAATCTCATTAATGGGCCTAACCCAAACCCTACCCAAGCAAAAACCTCATACTGGGCCTTAAACCCTAAAAAAATACACAGCAAATGCGATTTACAAATTTCTCTCTCTATCTCTCTCGCTCGCTCTCTCTCTCTTAAATGTTCAGTCGGAGGAGGTTTCTGTCGTTGCCCATGGTTGTTGGAGCAGTCATGTAAGCATCCCCAACTTTCCTCTCTCTCCCCCCCTCTCTCTCTCTCTCTATATATATATGTCTATGTATGTACAATACTTCATGAATGTACATATTCATGTGTCTTACTTTCATATGTAGTCTGTAAACAGTGATGCTATCATTACTTTGTATTGCGTTTCTGTATACCCAAAATATTTTATGTCTACATGTTTGCAAAGGAGGGCTTATATAGGAATTTCATGGATGCTCTGTAATTTTGCAGCAAACTCCGGTTAGATAATTTGACCCTAATTATGCCTCATGAAGAATCAGACCCAAATTGTGTAGAGTAGATTAGTCTTTCATTTTTTTTTCTCTCTTGCTTGTTGACCATGATGATTGAAATGATGTGACTTGATCTATTTCAATCTTATAGCTAAACACAGTTTGGATCTAATATTTGTTGCAAAATTACATCTTAAAATTCCTTTGTTCTTGAGTCAAGAAAATGTTTATGTTTCTTGGCCCTAGTTTAGTTTAGAAGTAACCTCACTCAAATGAAGATTTCTTAAGTTGAATAATCATTCACTTGCAATGGCAAATGATAGTTTCATTTGCAATGCATTTTCTATCATCTTTTTAATGAACCAAATGTGAGAGTAGACACTCTGATGGAATTATCATTCCATTCCACTTTCATTCTAGTGAACCAAACGCTATCTAAGAGATGTTAGACAATCATAACTTCCCCCTCCTGCTCCAACTCCGGCTCCGGCTTCAGCTCTCGGAACCTTGGTTGATATACATCATGCTTTTTGTATCAAAGTATAATTGCTTTGTCTTGTAATGACGGTGATACTTCTTTAGATCCACTTAATTGATGTGTCATTAGTAACTCAATTTAGGCTGTGTTTGATTCATAGATTTGGAAAAGAATTTAGAAAGAGAAAGGGAAAAGAAAAAGGAAAAAGTGTGTAAACGTAGTTATGTTTCATTGCTACATTAAGCATTACAACGTCAAAAAAGCCTCTAGGATTTGCAGGTCCTTTCACTGATTGACTAGCATCCACTCCCAAGATATGTTAATAGCTACACTCCCATTAGTCATAATACCTAGCATAAAAGTTTACATGTACATGGCTAAGGAGTGTAAACGGTTTGATTCGGTTGGTGTTAAGAGTAATATTTTAAAAATCGGACTGGTAAGCGAATCGGAAAAGAGATCGGATGGACGGGTCACCGGTTCAACTATCAAGTTGAACCAGAATCGAACCGTGTTGTCATAAATATATTAAAATTATATTTAAATAAAAATATAAGTAATAAAATTATATATTTAAAAAAAAATTTGAAAAACTGAAATTATCTTAAATATATTAATTTTAATTTTGGAATAGGAAACCAAATATTTAATATTCCCTCCATATGATTTTAATTCAAATAATTTGATTGAATGAAAAAAAATTTAAGGATATCAAAATTTCAAGTTTCCTTCTCATAAATTTAATTGAATCCCACATAGATTTTTTGAGTTTCTTTTTGCAAGTTTTTTTTTTTTTATAAATAGGTAGAGATTTTCACAATAATTTTCAGCTTTCAATGAGATTTCTCATAAGAGTAGACTCTTGAAAGAGAGTTTCTAATTAAAATTTTCCTTTATATATATGTATATATATAATAAGAACGAAAGAAAGACAAAGAGAAAGAATAAAAAAAATAGTCCGAAAATATCGAAAAAAAAATTCAAAATTTTTAATTTCATCAACCCAGCCGGTTTGACTAACCCGTTGCCTTCGGCAGTCTAACAACTGTTTTTTCTGGTTCTCTCTAAATATACCAGTTTTTGGCTTGGAATGGTTTAGACGGCATATTCAGACTGAAATCCCGATCGGTCGACGGTTTAACCGGTCGAATCAGCCGGTCTGGTCCGATTTTTAAAATCGTGGTTAAGAGTATATTTAGTACCGAACCAATCCTTTCGATTTTTTTGATTGAGAAACCGATATAAACTGTATGCTACTGTTCGGTTTTATCAGTTTTGTCGGTTTGATGTAGAAGAGAATTTATATAAAATTTTAAAAAGTTTTATAATAGATTATAGAATTTTACATTGAAAATAAATGAAGAAATATATAAAAATGCTCTATAAATGTTTTTCTCTGTAATTTTTATCACAAAAGTGTATTATATTAGTTATTTCTTATATAATGTTCAAGGAATTGTAATATAAAAATATTTAAATATAATATTTTGATTGGTTTGGTTTGTATTAGTATAAAAAGTTTCAAAACCGAAGTAGACCGTATGTTATGAAAAACAGACCGAAAACTAAAATTTCAGTCGGTTTTGATCGGTCAGCTCGATTTTGTCGGTTTTTCTTACATCTCTAGCTAAGGAAAAGGGAAAGAAGACAAGGGGCTGTTTGATAAAACCTAAATTTATTAGTAATGAGTTTCTAGTGCTGAAATAATGTACTGAATTTTTAAATTTGAAAATCTTATGATAACTATGTCGGTTGGAAATGAAATTAAAATGAAATCTTGCACTAAACATATTCAGTACTTAGTGATAAGTCAAAATCTCTTCAACTTAATAATTAATTTTTCCAAATTTAAGTGGCAGGCGATTGTATATTGCCAAACATGCATTCAGTTTTGATCATTTAATTGTGTTATTGGAGAGGATGCCTTTCTACTGAATTTCCAGTACCAGGGGGAATTGATAAAATTTGGTAGGTTAATTAGAAGTGGACAGGGGAAGGTTAAAATTGCACATTCTGCGATGCGATGATAGGGAGTGGGGTTGGTGTTCTATTGCCTTGCCTCTAAATAAGCCTCCACATTTAATATTTCCCTTGCTTTTACAGCCATACACCGGAAGGAAACTACTACCAGTTTTGATATTATTTTTTTGGTTTTTGAAACATCTTTTGACTTTCTGGGTTTCGCAGAATTGGAGTTGTTTCTGGGAAAGCAATATTTGGACCCCCACTAGAAGAATATTGGAAAAAGAAGCTTGAGGAAGAGGCAGCAGTAAAGGAAACTGACTCAAACTCCACTTGAAAACAGATTTTGTCCAACGAATTCCTCAAAGCATATGTTTGTTTCGGGAGAAGTGGGTGACTAACAGGATCATACATTTGTTTACTCGAGTTTGTACTCCAAGGAAGCTTGTACTATCAATATGTAAGTCTGGATTTTCGCAATGGTGAAGTCGTGGTGAACTGCAATTGGGTCTTCGGCTAACATCAGTGAAGGGATAAAATAAACCAAATCTGATTGTTTCCGGGTGAAGTATGTAGGAACATATATGAACAACGTCCAAGGCAGTGTTGTTTCTGGAACTTGCTAACATTGTCAGTATAATGCTTTTAAGTTGAATTTAGCACCTTATTTTATTACTTTTTTGCGAGGCAAAGACTTGCGAAGATTGCATGTGCCTTGTATATGGGAAAATTATATCAGTGCCTTGACTGTTTTGAATAAGAACATGGCTTTTAGTTTGCCAACCTGACTTATTTCAAATAAAAATCAGGCATACCATTCTTGCTATTTCTTTCCAGGTCTGATTTTGCTTTCAAGTTTCAGCATTTCGGGCCCTTTATGTTGCATTCTCTTTCCAATTTGTTACGTCTCTTTTTGGATGGAAAAATGCTTGGGAGCACTAATTAGTGCTCCCACTAATTAGGTGGCAGTGGGTCCTGTCATGAATGATGTGATGTTTTAGTCTTGGAGTTGTAATTTTTTTTTATTTTTTTTATTTTTTTAATGCATTAGTGTTATTAGTGGTGATGTTTTTAGTGGGATGAATCATTGTTGTTTTGGATGAATGGTTTGTGTTCGTCTCTTGGATCTAAATCCACTGACACTAATTTAATACTCCCCGAAGTTTTTGTGAAAAAAAAAAATCATTATTTATGAATATTTTTTCATATGCAAGAAATATAAGCAGAAATAGGAATATTCCATCCCCCCATAGTAATGAAATATCCAATATATGAGTCATATCATCACTATAGAAATGGGATTCTGTGTTTCGATCTTAAATTTGTTGAAGAAAAAAGAGGTTAGAAGGAAAACTGAAAAGAACAATATTGCTATATTGCACTCCCTTTTTTTTTTGGTGGCCCTTTCTTATAATAAATTGTTACATAAATCCAAGATTCAAACAGAGACCAAACTAATGCCGTGTTTGGTTGTGGGAAGAGATTTGAAAAGGAAAAAGAAAAAATGTGTTTTGTTGTGGGAAGAGATTTGAAAAGGAAAAGGAAAAAAATGTGTAAAACTAAGTGAAATGTAAATATATTTTATTCACATTTTATCGGCAGTGGTGAGCAATTGAATCGATGTCATATAAATATAACATGAATTATTGCTGTGACAAATTTTCTCACATTTTTTAGACATCACCATTACATGTAATTGCACTTATGATAAATAAACATCCAGTTTCATGATCCGGTTTTATATACAAAAATACACTTTGCAGAGTTCAAAAGGAGACTGAAGAAACAAGTAAAATCTATTCACAACATTGAGATAGTAGGCAATGAGCACATAATGCATTATTGAGAGACATCTTTCAGAGTGAGTGACTCTATTCTATATCAATCTCATCAACGTCAAGCCAGTCATTCGATTCCTTCATCCGAGGATTATGGGCACTTACCTGCTGCGATCCAGCACGTTCAACACTAACAGCATTGACATCCTTAGTTGAGTCACTTGAGCTCCTGCTCAACTGAACCCAATCTCGCGACTCTTTTGTCGACGAATCGGATCCGTATGTCATTTTCTTGTAACTTGTCGGAACATCCCCATCATCTTCCTCGAGATCACTGAATGACACATCCTCTTCATTCTCAACAGGGATAGTGGTTCCTCCAGCACCGACTATCTCTGAGCTTTCATCCTTCAACCAATCATCACCATCATCTTCATATTGTTCTACCAACACTCTAGAGGAAGCATCAGAATGCAGAGTTTGTTCTTTGGCTGAGTTTACTGGCCCTTCCTCAATGACAGATTTGTCTATGATTGGGATTTCAGTACTGTGCACTTGGTGCTTCTCTGTCTCAATATCAGCATCCTCCGTCGAAGTGGTTTGTTTGATGGCAGATGTCTCAAGGGGCACAGGTTCAGATTGAGCATCAGTAGGAACAGAATTGCTTCTCTCATGTGATACGTTAGCTATGTCATTTGAATATGACGCGTCCCTTCCAGACCAGTCTTGTTCTGGCTTTGCCTTGGTTCTGTTCTGCAACTCCTGTGTCAACGAAGCTCTAGCTTTCACTATCTGCATGTACAACATCATGTACCACAGGTTATTAACCTGACTGCTTAAGTAAGAAAACACTGGAAGTTTATAAAAGAACGTGAAATTTATCATACAAAAATTTGGTGAAGACCTTCCAGGGGCCTTTCTGTCAGAACCAAATAGACACAAACCTAGGACATGTAATCAACAGCGAAGTATATTGATAACCAAGATTAGAATTCATGGGCAAGCCAAATCGTTGAGAACAATTGATGATTAAGAATTCAGAATAATTTCCAGGTAACCTCATATTTTAGCACTATCTGTGAACAAAGATACATCACACAACCAAATTCCAGTTTTTCCTCCAAAAAAAAATAAATAAATAAAATTCCCAGTTCAAAAAAAATTTCCCACCAAAATTTGAAATATCTGGACGAAAGAAAAATGGTAGCTAGAAAAAAAAAAAGTAGAGCAAATTATGATGATAGTCCCTGTATTTTGATCTTTGTATAATTTTGGTCCCTATAATTTCAATTGGCTCGATTTCGACCCTGAATTTATGACTTTGTCTCAATTTAATCCAATTGCTTACAATTGTTAGCATTTTTTGATAATAAAAAATGCACATAAGTGACGTGTCATGCTTTTCAAGGCAAAATTATAAACTTGTTCAACTTAGTAAGTCAACTTTAACCAATTTCGTGATAATTTTTCATAAAAAACACTAACGGCATTATTAATTAGACCAAATTGACACAAAATCTAAATCAAAATTGAGCTAATTAAAAGTGTAGGGACCAAAATCACACAAGAGGCAAAATGTAGGGACTATCGGTCTAATTTGTCCAAAAAAAGTAAATCACTCAGCATGATATATGTAATGAGCTTTTGGTAAAAGGACATGACCAATAGAAGATAGCACCTATCATTTTCTTCTTTGTATTTGTCACCAATGGAGTCCCTGGACCTATAAATATATGGTCATTGCATAACAAACTCATCTAGTTAAAAAAGATTACTTACCATTTGGTCTACCTTGACTTCATGACACACGTCAACGCAAAATAAAAAAACGTAAAAAGCAATAACTCCTACAAAGGGGAAAGCAAGGAACAGAAAAATCAAATCATTTACAATATACTTGAGAAACTCCATTATCATTTGCTAATATTATGGTGAGGTTGTGACACGATATGTAAAATGGCCAAGAAAGCAATGAACTCCAGCATAATTGGTGACGAGTTTCCACACAAGGAAGGTTAAAAAATAACTTCCAACAAGATGCTCACCCATGGATGCTGTGACATGGACTGATAAACTTTCATGAGCTCGAAAAATAATTCCTATCCTCCCACCCATAAGCTAGATCAGATCAACATAATATAATGCACTTGACATTATAATTCATTTGAACTTCTTATGTAACACAGGACCAAAATATAAAGGTATGCTAGGGAATTTACCAAACTAGGAAGTACTTCTCTCTTCCTACACTCAAAATGCTTTTAAGAATGGATCTGAGAACAACTATATCTGGAATGATCAAGACCAGTTTGTCATCCAGCACCAGCAATAATCACACATTTTTAAGTCTATGTAACAAATCCTATGGATGACATAGTGTCCCTTGGGTCCTTGCCCGTAGTGTGGGCAGAGGGTTGGTAGAAAATCTCATAACTGAGGAGACATGAATAGAAAACACAGGAAAATAATTTTGGAAAAAGGACAAACTACACAAACACCACCTTAAGTTTTTGACAAACATAAAGACAACCGTCAAGTTTCTGAAATAACAATTTCCCGTGAGAGTAGTGGTTGATGGATGGTTAAAAAAATGACAAATACAACTGTTTTAGCCCAGATCTTTTATTCAAATTTTAATATTTTGATTCAGTTATAGACTCGTTAAACCACCCCCACTCCCACCAACAACCACCATAATTCTGCAGCAACCACCACCATCCATGGCCTCCAAAACCCATCATAAACCATCCATTTGATGAGAAAATTTGCAGAAGCCAAGAGAACTTTTTTTTTTTTTGGATAAATAAACTTTTTTTTATTGGCATTGGGGGGATCAAAACCCGACTAATCTCCAGGGGTGTACAGGCCCTCGGCAAGGAATTTCCCGCAAGTGCACCATGGATAAATAAACAAACTTTATTGAAAAAGTATCAAGATGATGCAAAGAAAGAGAATTATTAGTGCATATATATATGGACAGATGTATATAAACACACACACAACTAAAGTGATGTCAAAAATCAATTAAGACCCAAAAAAATGGATTGACAACAAACTCCAATTTCCTTGGACGAACAACTCAATATCATCACATCTTTGACAAGTCTGTCTACCCTTCATCGACCACTGTTACAGAGGATAGGAGGAGAAAGGAGAGATTAATGGGTTTGGGTGTTAATGGGTTGAAGAAGAGTTTGACAGGGAGATCCAGTGGCTGTGGAGGATGTGCGCCAATGGATTGTAGCCGTGGATGAGGTGGTTGTGGTTATGGTTGTGGTGATGTTATGTGGCGGTGATCACTGGTGGGTTGCAAACTTGCAATGGGTCGGGGGCAAAGCAAATATATGAGTGAGAATAAGAAGTTTAGGAGGTTGCAATGGTTGTGGAGGGTGTGGGCAGATGAGTTATGGCCATGCAGCCTGCAGGAGGTGGTGGAGGGAGTCTGTTTCGTCAGTGGCATCCGATGGGTTCCAGACGAAGCAAAGAAATGAGTGAGGAAACAAAGGCCAGGGGGTAAGCGGCAGCCCATCCTGGTTATCATGGAGTGTTGATTAGTATCTAGGCCCGTAGGGTCAAGTTCGGCTAAGTTTTAAGGCCTGATTATTTTTTCGAACTTTCTCATTTGTTCCAGTTTGAGGAGTATAATATCATGTATTTTAGTTTTAAACAAATTATAAAACAAATGCCCTTACACTTCTTTATGTTATATACGTTGTTGCACTTTGCACAAAGAAATATTCTTGGAATCTAATTTTGTTAGAGTTGCTAAGAAGTAAAACTTGATCATTTATAGGTCAAGAGATCTTGAAGTTGGAATTCCTTTCGGATTGCCAATTTGCCACTTAAACGCCCGATCGAGCTCGATTTTATATAAATATAAAAATATATGATTAAATTCTTTTTCTTTTTTTTTTTTTTAATATAATTATTTAACCTCTTGAACATGTTAAGGTCATTACAAGAATTGAACCCTCAACATCTCACTATTTGAACCACTAGTCTACTACATATGAAGTACAGATACTTCTAAAAAAGAGTCGTATTTGTATCATACCCATATCGGATGTCGAAACTTACAGATACGTGGCATCGATACTTTCTAAATGTATCCAATACTTTAAATTAATTTCAAGAAGTATCAAATACTTTTCAAACACTCCAGGTCACATAATCCAATCGAACTATATTCTAATAATTTTTGCATACTATTGGAGTATAATTAGTAGAATAAATACAAAAGTAATAATCAATACTTTCATATTTCTAATCAAATAAGAAAATAGTGAGATTAAGGTAGTACCTTACTTTTTCAAATTTATTGAATTAACATATCTTTAATGTAACCATATCCATACTTTATAGAAAGTAATTATATAAAACGTATATAGATTACTAAAATCGAGTTTCAACAATTAAATTAGCATATAAACTAAAATACAATATTTTTGCATAAAACACTTTAATGCTCTATTTTATTCAATGGAATGAGATGGAATGGAATGGAATGGACCGATCATTCCATTAAAATGGTGAATGACAATTCCATTTGCAACACATTGTTCATTGTCTTTTTTAGTCAACAAAACCAAACATGGGAATGTATATTTTGATAGAAATACCATTCCATTCCACTTCTTTTCAGTACCCAAGTGTGAAAGAAAAAAGAATAAGGGTAATATAAATAGATTAGGCTTGATATTTAATTGAAATTTTAGAGGACTCACTAAAAATAATAATAAAATAAATAAAAGATAAATGTAAATTGACTACTGTCTCTTAAACTAATATCTAATACCTAAAGAAAGTTTTTATCATTCTTTGAGCTCATGTATAAACTATAATGCAATACTAAAATTTATAGAGGAATTTTTAAAATAAAAAAAAAAATTCAGGGGTGGTTTAGGATATTCTAAATAAGTGCACTTTTTGATTTTTTATTAAAAAAAAATGTGTAGAAAAGTAGATAAAATGGTTAAAAAAATAGAGAGAAAATATTGATTGATGTGACCCAAATAAATGTATGTAGGTAAAAAAAATACACTTTTTTAGTTTATCCCAAATACCTACTCAATATATTCTGGTCATACCCATATCTTCTTCTCTTTTTTTTTTTTTTCTTCAGATTTTGTCATATCACTATCTCCGTATCGTATTGTATATGTATCTTGTATTGGTATCCGTGCTTCATGGGCTACTTCCATATTGTTAGTATTTTTCTATGCAAAATATTTATTAGAATTTTACTGTAGGCAAGCAAGATCAGACTTGGTAACCAACAATGGCCTCGTTTGGAAAGTTAGCTATTTTAATTAGCTTTTTAACCATTTTAGCCTGGTTAAAAAAGTTGTGTTAGAGATTTTTTTTTTTTTGCCCCCATTGTGTTTGGGAAGTTGTTTGTTGTTTGTTTGTTTTTTTTTTTTTTTTTTTTTTTTTTTTTTTTTTTTTTTTTTTTTTTTTTTTTTTTTAAAAAAAA